GGGTGGGGACGTCGCGAGAACGCTGCTGCTGCTGCTGCTGGCGCTGACCGCCACCAGTGCCGCTCCGCTGCGAAGCTCCACTCCAACCACCTCCACCTCCGCCACCCCCGCCTCCGCCTCCACCGCCCCCGCCTCCACCTCCACCGCCGCCACCTCCGCCACCTCCGCTACCACCGCCACCGCCGCCGCCACTCCCGCCTCCACTGCTGCCACTAGCACCCCCACCCCCACTACCACCTCCACCGCCACCCCCACTCCCTCCGCCGCCTCCACCTCCACCGCCACCGCCCCCACTGGCCCCACCCGCTCCCTTGCCCCCCTTGCCCTTGCCAGAGCGGCGTCTCCCGCTAGGGGCAGACGCCGCACCGACCGACTCAAGACCAACAAGGTCGGCCGCAGCGGCAGAGGCGACAGAGGGCAGGAGAGGGGAAGGAGAACACCCCTCAAAGATGGGGGCACGGGGGTCACCTCGAGAGGCTCCTACAGCAACTATGCTCTTCTCTGCTGCAAGGAGGGCCTTCTCGAGGCTGTCGACTGTGAGGGTGGTGGGACAGACCGCGAGGAAGTGGTCCCGGACTACACGAAGGGAGTCAGGGAGGCGAGTGACTAAGAAGTAGAGAGTGATGTACATGGGGGGGGGGTTCTTGGCGCAGAAGTCAGCAGGAAGCGCAGCGCGGTAGCGAGTGTCACTAGTGCGGAGGTGCGTGATGAGATCAGCGACAGTGGGAAAGGCGGCAAGGTCAGGGAAGAGGAAGGGGAGCATGAGGCGGCTCAGTGCAGCAGTGGCAGGGGAGGAGTAGCGCGCAACTACAGCGTCGTACAAGGTCTGAGCACTCTTGTACTGGCTAAAGTGCGCGCGCTCAGCGGTAGGCAGGTGGCGACGCACAGCAAGACGTGCAGCAGCATCGCGCGTGGCCCACTGAGAGCGAACAGTGGCGTCAGCATCAGCAGCAGGGGCAGGGACGGCGCCAGAGGTGAGGTCAAAGAGAGACAGACCGTCGGCCCTGTCGCACTGTAAAAACAGCTGCAGGTCGTCGAGCCAGACCTCAAAGTCAATGGCTCGACCCTCAGCGTCAAAAGCGAGGACACTGGGTGTAGCCATGACGACGACAGTGGAGCAGTGCAAGCAGTAGGGGAAGGGTACGCAGTGACAGCAGTGCAGTGCTCACCGGGTAGGGCAGGTCGGGCGGCTCGGGAGGAAGGTCGCCTGGCGACACGGCCGCTAGGCTGCTGGGCGGCTCGGCTCCCGGGCGGCTCGGCTGCTGTTGGGCGGCTCGGCTGCTGCTGGGCGGCTCGGCGGCTCCGGGCGGCTCGGCTGCTGCTGGGCGGCTCGGCGGCTCCGGGCGGCTCGGCTGCTGCTGGGCGGCTTGGCTGCTGCTGGGCGGCTCGGCGGCTCCTGGGCGGCTCGGCTGCTCCGGGCGGCTCGGCTGCTGCAGTTGGGCGGCTCGGCTGCTGCAGTCGGGCGGCGCGAGAGCAAGGGGCGGCGGGGCCGTTAGTGCTGGGGCGGCGGGGCCGCGAGACCAGGGGCGGCGGGGCCGCGAGACCAGGGGCGGCGGGGCCGCGTAGTAGGGGCGGCTGGGGCCGGGAGCGCTTGGGGCGGCGAGGCCGCGAGATCAGGTGCGGCGGGGCCGTGAGTTCTGGGGCGGCGGGGCCGCGAGATCAGGGATGGCGGGGCCGTGAGATCAGGGGCAGCGGGGCCGGGAGCGCCGGGGCGACGGGGCCACGTATCAGGGGCAGCGGGGCCGGAAGCGCTGGGGCGGAGGGGCCGCGAGATCAGGGCGGAGAGGGGCCGTGAGCGCTGAGGCGGCGGGGCCGTGAGATCAGGGACGGCGGGGCCGCGCGCGCTTGGGCGGCGGGGCCGCGAGATCAGGGGCGGCGAGGGCCGCGCTTTCAGGGTCAGCGGGGCCGCGAGATCAGGGGCGACGGGGCCGCGAGATCAGGGGCGGCGGAGCCGCGTGAGGAAGGGCGGCGAGGGCCGCGAGAGCAGGGCGGCGAGGCCGCTAAGGCGGCGCGAGGGCGGGCAGCGGGGCGTGGGCGCTAAGGCGGCGCTCGGGCTGCTAGGGCGGGCGGCTCGCTAAGGCGGCGCTCGGGCCGTTAGGGCAGATCGAAAAAAAAGTTAAGAGCAAGGGCCCGGAGCGCGCTCCGGGCAGAAAAAAAACGTTCGATGTGGTGGGCCCTAAGCACAGTTCCCACGGGGGAACCTGCTCGATACCATGAGAAAGTTAGAACGAGAATGAAATGACTATGAATGAAGTGAGTACAAATAGGAAACTCTAGTTGGGCTGTACCCCCTATGGGATACCCCACTATAGCCTACACAAATAAGTAAGCTATAATATTCTGACACAATTGAGTGAGCGAACGAGAGTTGCACTATCGAAGCAAAAAAGTACAATGAGCGAAGGATTGAGCGAGAACTAAATAGCGAAGGCCATAGTCGTAACGGTAACAAACTGTGGGTGAAGCGCGGCGGGCCTGGAACTGAGGTTGGGACTGTGGTTGGGAAATGTTGAGGCGGAGATCCGCAGCGCCGGTTACCAGTCGAACCGTAAGGTCGGGGTGAGACGTCTGAAGGTGGCGGGAGGATTTGTCGAAGCGAGGGTTGCGAGTAGTAACGGTGCTGACTGTGGTGTTACAGCGATGGACGCGCTAAGCAGGGATGCGGCATAAGGAAACGGAAATTTCCTTACATTACCCCTCCCCCCCCCCCCAAAGGAGGCCCTCCTTACGAGAGTGCGAGTACATCTCGGAAATTGCGGCTGCGCAAGTAGTCGGTAAGAACGGGGTGGGTTTCAATCTTGTCTAGGGGGACCCAACTGTCAGTGGGTGGTCGTTTCATGCTGGCTGGTCGGTGTCGGGGCAGTTGGCTTGTGGATGGTACGTAAGGGCATAGGAGGCTGACGCGGAATGACGGGCTGATGTACCAGTCAGCGGGGAGGAGGAGGTGGGCGGTGACGGGTGTGATCATGTGGCTTATGCGAAATGGCCCGCAATATTGAGAGCGGAGTTTTGGGGTGATGGGCAGGCGTAGGTTTTGAGTGTCGAGTAAAGCTACCGTCATCGCCCGGATAGTAGACATATATGTCTTATCCCGTACACTACTCAAAATTCTTTGGGTTATATTGTATTTGGGATGGTTTAGGGTGTCTTATAAGTCTTATAAATGGACAAAGAACCGTTTAGAAGACACCCCCTCGTTATACAATTGCCCCTAACCCCTACACTGGCTTATCTCGTACACACAAATAGGTGTCTTATAATGAGGCTAGCCTGTTTATAAGAGACACCCGGATTATGGACAACCCCTGTCTACTATTCAACACTGTCTACTATCCGAGTGATGACGGTCAGTCGTCGGGCTGGTAGGTGATGGGACGGCGGTGGCGATCGGCGTTGCGTTTAACGATTACGTTTGATTTATTTATTGCGTCTGCTGCCCGGGTTCGTGCTGCCTGTAAAATCTCGGTGAACTGCTGTGCACGTGGTACGGGGTTGTCGGGATTCGGGGTCATGGGTACTGTGGGGTCTTGTCCGTAGTTCAGGTAAAACGGTGACTGTTGGGTCCTGGCAGATGGCGAGTTGTTGTACGTGAACTCGATGAGTGGCAGTTGCTGTTCCCACATGCTTGGTGTCAGAATTATATTGTAGACTGTAGTGGGGCACTCCTTATGGGGTACAGTATTGTTAGGTTTTGCCTATAAAAACCTTGTACTGTCCTCTTTCTAGTCATTCTCGTTTCCTACTTTGTGACATGGTTTCAGAGCAGGTTCCCTAGTGGGAACCTCATTTTAAGGGCCCACCGTATTAGCTTTTTTTTTTCCTGCCCTGCCCGAAGCGCGCGTCGCGCCTGCCTCGCCTGCGCCGTAGCGCGCTCTGCCCTAGTGCCACCCTTAACAGCCCTGCCCTTGCGGCTCGTCGCGCCCTTCCCCCAACGGCCCGTCGAGGCCCTTTTCTCGCCGCCGCGACCTGCCCCAACCCGCGCCGCCCTACCAAGCCGCGCCGCCCTGCCGAGCCGCGCCGCCCTGCTGAACTGCTACTACTACTGCTAATGCTGCTTCTGCAGCTACTGCTACTGCTACTGCCGCTATGGCTAACCCTAGTGTTCTTACCTTCGATGCTGAGGGTTGTGTGGTCGATTTCGAGGTCTAGGTCGATGACATGCAGCTCTTTCTACAGTGCGACTCTAGGGACGGAGTCTCACTGTTCGATCACACGTCCGACGTCTCTGTTGCACTTGCTGCCGATGCTGAGAGTGCAGTTCGCTCGCAGTGGACCACACGTGATGTTGCTGCTCGTCTTGCTGTTCATAGTCACCTGTCTGTCAGAATCCCAACCACTAGACCATTGGGATAAAATGGCTTGTTTGTGTAGCGGGTTCGTGCGCCCATAACCCCCCAGGCCAACGTGCCTGTAACCCTTCCCTAGGATCAATCGGGGACTTCCAGTGGACCTCTGACACCCCCCCGCACTGGGATGCCCGAAGTGCACACACTGGGATTCGAACCCGAGACCTTCGCTCTGATACCATGTCACAATACGATCTTAGCTAGGAACGGGTTTAACTAGGGCCTAGGCTTAGAAGCCTAGGCCAAGCGGGTAACGAGTAGTTTGTGCCAAGGAGAGATGTCGAATAATGGTTGGGTTCACTATAGGATCAAAGGTACATATAGCAACCAAACAGGTGCACCACCAAGCAAACAATCAAATAACTACACTATAGTAACTACAGCAAGCAGGATATATTAAACATAACTTTGACACACCCTCTTAGCCTGCTTGCAGTAATAACTAGTGCAGTCAACACCCCCTGAAGGGGTAGAGCAGGCACGATGGCAGACGGCAGAGGGGTACGTGAGGGGAGGCGGCGAGAGGGAGAGAGGAGAGGAGAGGAGATGAGAACACAGGAGGAGGTGAGTGAGGGATGAGGAGAGGAGGTGGGGGGGTGGCCGCGGCGTCCCCTCTTACTAACCCCCTTTTAGGAAAGGGGGGTTGAGTGGGGGATGAGGAGAGGAGGTGGGGGGGTGGCCGCAGCGTCCCCTCTTACTAACCCCCACATCCCCACCCCCAATCAACCACCCTCCTTCAACCTCACCCCCCCTTTCAGCCGCCCCCTGGAACCGCACCCCCTCCTTCCCTTCCTTCCTTCACACCCCTGCCCCACCCACAGTTGTCTTTGCCCTGTCCTTCACACGGCAGCCAACCCTCCCATCCCCCCGTCCCTGCTACCTACCCCCCACACTAGCAGCTGCGGGAGGGGAGAGGCAGGGCAGAGGGTGGTTCTCTGCTGGCGGGGTTCTCTGCTGGCGGGGTTCGCTGCTGGCGGGGTTCTCTGCTGGCGGGGTTCTCTGCTGGCGGGGTTCTCTGCTGGCGGGGCTCGCTGCTGGCGGGGTTCTCTGCTGGCGGGGTTCTCTGCTGGCGGGGTTCTTTGCTGGCGGGGTGCTGGTGCTGGCGGCTGGCGCTGTGCTCGTTCCTGGTGTTGGCGGCTGGTGCTGGTGCTGGTTCCTGGTGTTGGCCGCTGGCGCTGGTGCTGGTTCCTGGTGTTGGCGGCTGGCGCTGGTGCTGGTTCCTGGTGCTGGCGGCTGGCGCTGGTGCTGGTTCTTGGTGCTGGCGGCTGGCGCTGGTGCTGGTTCCTGGTGCTGGCGGTTGGCGCTGGTGCTGGTTCCTGGTGCTGGCGGCTGGCGCTGGTGCTGGTTCCTGGTGTTGGCGGCTGGCGCTGGTGCTGGCTCCTAGTGCTGGCGGCTGGCGCTGGTGCTGGTTCCTGGTGCTGGCGGCTGGCGCTGGTGCTGGTTTCTGGTGCTGGCGGCTGGTGCTGGTGCTGGTGCTGGTTCCCGGTGCCTGGTGCTAGTGCCTGGTGCCTGGTGCTGGCGGCTCGTGCTGGTGCTAGTGCCTGGTGCCTGGTGCTGGTGCCTGGTGGTGATGGGGCGCGACGGGTGGGACGAGCAGGAGACGGGCTACAGGCTGGGCGGGATCTGACGGTAGGAGGCGCGCAAGCGCTGGTGCGATCGCCGGTGCTCTAGCGGTGATCGCTGGTTTTCCGCCGCCACTCCCTTCCCCCTTTTCCTCTCTCCCCCACAACATTCCGCCGCCAATCCCTTCCCCTCCTCCCTCTTCCCCCCACAACGTTCCGCCGTCAATCCCTTCCCCTCCTCCCTCTCCCCCCCACAGCGACCGCCGTTGCACACGCGAACAGTCGCGATGGGGTGGGGGGGGGGGGGTGACGGGCAGGGGGCCGGGGGAATGCGACAGGCGGAGCAAGGCGACGGGAGGGAAGAAAACGGGACGGGGGGGGAAGGGCCGCGGCGACCGCCACGAACGCCGTCCCCTTCATTCCCGATGCCGCCCCCCCCCCCCCTCCCACCCTTCCCCACTCTCGCGCAAACTCGACAGCAGACGTAGGCGTGGGCAGAGGTGGTGACGGCGGGGGGGGAAACGCGACGGGCTGACGACGAGGGAAACTCGACGGGCTGGCGACGGGGGAAACGCGACGGGCTGGCGACGGGGGAAAACGCGAAAAAAAAAGAAAACGACGGGCTGGCGACAAGGGAAACGACTAGACCATTGGAATAAAAGGGCGCCGTGCAACGAGCGCCGTGCCGCGTATGGGTGGGCCCATTAATTTAGGTTAGGATTCTTATAGCTCAATACCATGTAAGAATCCCAACCACTAGACCATTGGGATAAGAGGGCTTGTTTGTGTAGCGGGTCCGTGCGCCCATAACCCCCCAGGCCAACGTGCCTGTAACCCTTCCCTAGGATCAATCAGGGACCTCCAGTAGACCTCTTACACTCCCCCGCACTGGGATGCCCAAAGTGCACACACTGGGATTCGAACCCGAGACCTTCGCTCTGATACCATGTCACAATACGATCTTAGCTAGGAACGGGTTTAACTAGGGCCTAGGCTTAGAAGCCTAGGCCAAGCGGGTAACGAGTAGTTTGTGCCAAGAAGAGATGTCGAAGAATGGTTGGGTTCACTATAGGACCAAAGGTACATATAGCAAACAAACAGGTGCACCACCAAGCAAACAATCAAATAACTACACTATAGTAACTACAGCAAGCAGGATATATTAAACATAACTTTGACACTGTCGTCTGCTGAGCGCGCGCACTTTAGCCAGTACAAGACTACTAAGACTCTGTATGACGCTGTTGTTGCGCGCTACTCCTCCCCTGCCACTTCTGCCCTCAGCCGCCTCATGCTGCCGTACCTGTTCCCTGACCTCGCCACTTTTGCCACAGTCGCTGACCTCATTACCCACCTCCGCACCGGTGACACCCGCTACCGCGCTGCGCTTCCTGCCGAGTTCTGTGCCAAGAACCCCCCCCCCTATGTACATCACCCTCTACTACCTCGTCACCCGACTCCCTGACTCCCTTCGCTCGGTCAGGGACCACTTCCTCTCTCTTTGCCCCACCACGCTCACCGTTGACCTCCTCGAGGAGCGCCTCCTTGCAGGTGAGAAGAGTATAGTCACTGTAGGAGCCTCTCGTGGTAACCTTCGTGCCCCTTTCTTTGAGGGGTGCTCCCCTGTCCCCCTTTTTCCCTCTGTTGCCTCTGCTGCTGCTGGCACCGAGTCGGTCGGAGCTGCGTCTGCTCCTAGTCGGAGACGCCGCAGCGGCAAGGGCAAGGGGGGCAAGGGTGGTGGAGGGGACGGCGGGGGAGGCGGTGGTGGCGGCGGTGGTGGTGGTGGAGGAGGTGGAGGGGGTGGGGGTGGAGGTGGGGGTGGCGGCGGGAGTGGGGGCTTCGGTGGCGGTGGTGGAGGTGGAGGCGGCGGCGGCAGCGACAGTGGGGGTGGAGGCGGCGGTGGTGCTGGTCGAGGTGGAGCTGTGCAGCGGGGAGGCTTTGGAGGTGGCCAGCGCCAGCAGCAGCAGCGTTCTCGTGAGACCCCGTCGCCCCAGCAGCTTCGAGAGTGGTACGCTGGGCGTGGGAGGTCTGGGGGTGCTGGTCCCTGTGCTTACATTCTCCGCATCAGTGAACGCAGTTGGGAGACGTGCGGCCTGCCGCACGCTACGCACCGCTGCTTTGGCCGTCTGACTGACGCTTGGCGTGCACAGTTTCCTGACGCCATTGAGCTACCTCGTTGGGGTGATCTGCTTAGGTCAGGGGTCGCTATATTTCATCTTGACTATGATGCTATCCTTGCTGCTATGTATGCTATGACTATTAGTGCTGAGGGTGACTGTTACCTGTGTGTTCTGCCCGACCCAAGCATTGAGGCTGCTGCTCTAGGTGCTAGTGAGTCTGCTGCTCGAGGTGCTGGTGAGGCTGTTCTCTCAGGTACCGTGTCGGCTCAGGTCTTGCACACTTTCACCCTTGACTTAGGTGCTTCCCGTTCCTTCTTTCGTGACTGCACCACACTCACGCCGCTCAGTCAGCCAGTGGCAGTCTCCCTGGCTGACCCCTCTTGGGGTCCGGTCCTTGCGCACTCCTCCACGGTTCTGCCATGTCCGGCGGTCCCGTCTGGCTCCCTGTCCGGTCTCCACCTCCCCTCGTTCTCCACGAACTTGGTGAGTGGAGCTGACCTTCAGGACGTGTGGGTTGACCAGTTCACTCCTGGAGGTCAGCGGGTGACCCACTGTACGTGTACACGGACGGGCGGCACCTGGCCACGTTTACTCGTCAGCCTGGGTCGAGCCTGTACACCCTGACTACCGTGTCTCCTCCAGCATTACTTTCTGCTGGTCGTTGACGACTACTCGCCCTACACTACAGTCTTCCCCTTGCGCCGCAAGGGTGAGGTCACTGAGGTGCTCATCAACTGGATCCGCGCTGTCCGTCCCCAGCTCAGCGAGAGTTTCGGCTCGGACCTTCCTGTTCTGCGTCTGCACTCCGACAGAGGTGGGAAGATTTCCTCCGACCTTCTGAGGGCCTTCTGTCGTGCGGAGGGCATCCGCCAAACGTTCACGCTTCCGGCCTCTCCGCAACAAAATGGGATTCCTCAGCGCCACATTGGCATGGTCATGGACGTCGCTCGTACGTCCATGATTCATGCGGCTGCTCCCCATTTTCTGTGACCGTTCGTGGTTTAGTACGCTCCGCATCAGCTCAACCTCCAGCCCCACGTCTCCATGCCGGAGACCACACCTACTCTGCGGTGGACGGGGAAGGTTTGCGATGCGTCTGCGTTCCGTGTCTGGGGATCTCGAGCTTTTGTCCGCGATCTGTCTGCGGACTAGCTGTCCTCTTGTGCTGTTCCCTGCGTCTTCCTTGGCTTCCCCCCTGACGCGCCTGGTTGGCAGTTTTACCACCCCACCTAGAGCCGTGTTCTGTCCTCGCAGGACGTCATGTTTGACGAGTCGGTTCCTTACTACCGTCTCTTCCCCTACCGCACTGCCCCTTTCCCCCCCCGCCGCTCTTCCTCGCGCCAGGTCCTCCTCCTGTAGACCCCCTTCCCCCTCAGGGTCTTGCCCCCTCAGGTGTGTCCCAAGTAGACGCAGTCGAGCCTGTCGAGGTAGCTGTTGACTCTGGTACTGCTAGGGGTGCTGAGCGTGCGGGTGCCAGGTCTGGGGGTGCTGAGCCAGGGGGTGCTTAGTTTAGGGGTGCTGAGCCTGGGGGTACTGAGTCTGGGGGTGCTGAGCCTGGGGGTGCTGAGTCTTGGGTTGCTGAGCCTAGGGGTACTGAGTCTGGGGGTGCTGAGCCTAGGGTTACTGAGTTTGAGGGTGCGGAGCCTGCGGGTTCTGCGCCTGCTCGTATAGGAGGTAATGGAGCTGCTGGGCCTGGTGGTGCTGCAGGAGGCGGAGCTCCTGGAGGTGCTGGAGCTGGCGGTACCGCTGGAGCAGGTGCTGCAGGAGGTGACTGAGTTGGCGCTACTAGAGCTATTGGGACTTCTGGTGGTCCTTCTGAAGCTGAGTCTGCGGGAGGTGCTGGAGTTGGCGCTGCTAGAGCTGCTGGAGGTGCTACTGGGGCTAAGGGTGCTGCAGGAGTTGGAGCTGACGCTAGGGGTGCTGGTGCTGTCTCTGCTGGTTCTAGTGGTAATGCACGGCCGCGGCCGTACTTCGTTCCACTCCTTCAGCAGGTTCTTGGTCTCCCGCCTTCTACTAGTCTTGCTCCTCCCTTAGAGTGTCCGCCGCCGGTTCACTCGCAGTCACATTTACAGCCCGCCTCCCCACTGCCTGCTCCTTCTCCTTACACCTGTCCGACCGGAGGTCTTGCTGAGCGTCGTGATCCTTGGTCTCGCCCTGCGTCGCCTGTTCCCGCTGCTCGCACTACTCGTCGTGGTTCGCATAACCGTCCTTTTCCTGTCCTCGGCACGCACCAGATGGCACTTCGTCCTTCCACTGCTCCAGAGCATGTCCCTCAGCCGTCTCCTCCTACGTCCTCCCTTCATGTCGGTTCGGACCCGGAGTCTGACTCCCTTCGTGCTGCTAGTCCTACTGTCACGCGTCTCCTAGCCACAGTTGTCACTGACCCTTCCTTTGAGTCTACTGCTGCGTCTGCTCTTGTTGCTGAGCTTGTCGACTTTGCTACTCGCTGTTGTCAAGACTATGCCGCTAGTCTTGTTGCTGATTCTGAGTCTTTCTATCCTCTGTCCGTCGGGGGTGAGTGTGCCCTTAGCACGGACGTCGTTGAGGACACGCAGGAGGAGTTCCAGTGTTTTGCTGCTGCTTTACCTCATCTTGTGTCCATGCTGCTTGCCCCTGAGGGAGACCCGGATGCATCAGACATCCTGACCCCGCGCTCTTACGCAAAGGCAATAGAGGGTCCCTACTCCTCTCAGTGGCAGACAGCCATGGACGCAAAGATGGCTTCCTGGAAGTCCACAGGCACTTACGTCGATGAGGTCCCTCCTGGGGCGAACATTTCGATGGCACGTGGATTTTCAGGGTGGAGGGGCCGCCGGGATCTCCGCCTGTCTTCAAGGCGCGGTACGTCGTTCAAGGCTTCAGTCAGCGACAGGGATTCGACTACTTTAAGACCTTCTCCCCCACCCCAAAGATGACCACTCTTCGGGTGCTGCTGCACGTCGCGGCTCAGCGTGACTATGAGCTTCACTCTCTTGACTTCAGCACAACCTTTCTACAGGGCAGCCTGCACGAGGAGATCTGGTTGCGCCGCCCTCCTGGCTTCTCTGGGTCGTTTCCTCTTGGTACCTAGTGGAGCCTCCGGCAACCAGTCTACGGTCTCCGCCAGGCGCCCCATGAGTGGCACGACACACTGAGGACTATGCTTGCGGCTTTCGGGTTTGCTCCTTCCACTGCTGACCCGTCGTTGTTTCTACGCACCGACACTTCGCTGCCGCCGTTCTACATCCTCGAGTATGTCGACGACTTGGTCTTTGCTACTGCTGACACTGGTGGACTGGCCCACGTGAAGTCGGAGAAGCAGAAGAGACACTCCTGCACTAACCTGGGTGAGCTGCGCAGCTATCTTGGCTTGCAGATCACCCGGGACAGAGCACAGCGCACCATTACCTTGACTCAGTCACACATGGTGCAGCAGGTCCTTCAGCGCTTAAACTTCACGTACTCATCGCCTCAGGCCACTCCTCTGTCTACTCGCCACTCGCTCTCAGCTCTGCCTTTGGATGAGTCCATAGAGTCGAGTGGCCCGTAACCAGAGCTTGTGGGATGCCTCATGTACGTCATGACCTGCACTCGACCTGACCTGGCATACCCTCTTAACATCCTGGCACGCTATGTTGCTCCTAGAGACACCGACCAGAGCACATGGATGCAGCTAAGAGGGTGTTGCGCTACCTGTGCAGTACGTCGGGCATGGGGCTCGTGCTTGGAGGACGGGCTCGAGTTGTCCTCACTGGTCACGCAGATGCTTCTTGGGTTGATGACTTGGCTACGCAGCGGTCGTCACAGGGTTACACCTTCAGCCTTGGTTCCGGCTCTGTTTTGTGGCGGTCTACCCGCTCGTCTTCTGTTCTCAGCTCCAGTTGTGAGGCTGAGATCTACGCTGGGGCCATGGCTGCACAGGAGTTACTTTGGCTCACCTACCTGTTGACTGACTTAGGATAGGCGCCTCGTTCTCCTCCAGTTCTGTACGTCGACAAAAAGGCCATGATTGCCTTGTGTCAGGAGCACAGACTGGAGCACAGAACAAAGCACATTGCTCTGCGCTACTTCCTTGCTCGAGAGTTGCAGTAGCGTGGTCAGCTTTATCTTGCTTACGTGGCCATTCGGGCCAACACTGCTGATATCTTTACCAAGGCACTTCAGCCTTGTGATCATCAGCGTTTTTGTACTCTGTTAGGTCTTGTGCCTACCTGGCCTCACTTCGTCACCTCTTGACTTTGCTTGTAGTGTGATTTATATATACCTGCATGCTTACACTTACTAGGTTGTGATCACTGTACTACTAGTTCTCCTCTTTATATAACTCTGCATGTGAACTGGTCTTGTGGCCTTTTGCTTGTGCTCAGAATGCGTGGTGACGTCGTGATCCACCCTGAGCTTGACCTTTGCTTTGTTCTTTTGCTTGTCCCCACTTTGCCTATGGGGATGTGTGAGAACTATATTGTAGGCTGTAGTGGGGCACTCCTTATGGGGTAAAGTACTGTTAGGTTTGCCTATACAAACCTTGTACTGCCCTCTTTCTAGTCATTCGCATCTCCTAATTTGTGACACTTGGGTCATCGCACGTGGCTCGGATGAGCTGTTCCATGGTCTGGTTTGTCCGTTCTGTCTGTCCGTCTGTTTCGGGATTGTACGAAGAACTGAACTGTAGTCGTGTGCCGAACTGCTGCCACATGTTCCGCCAGAAGTTGCTAGTGAAATTCGTATTCCTGTCGCTAATGATTGCTGCTGGTATCCTGTGTAATCAAATGACGGTAGCGATGAAAAGTCGACCTGTTTCTTCGTCTGAGATGGATTTCTTGCATGCTGCGAAATGCGCCATCGGTGACGACCAGGATCGCATCGTTCCCACTTGCCCCAGCCGGTAACCCCGTGACGAAGTTCATTGTCACCTGCTGCCAAGCACGCTATGGGGGTGGTATCGGCTGCAACTGCCCTGCCGGCCGCTTCTGTGATGATTTCATGAGCTGGTAGGTGGGACACGACGCCATGTGTCGCTGTACGTCGGTCAACATCGCGGGCCAATAGTAATACCGCTGCAACTGCTGTCGTGTTTTTTCTACCCCGAAATGGCCCGAGGTAATGCCGTCGTGTGCCTCCTGTAACAATAGCTCCCTTAGCAAAGTATACCCTGGCGTTCAATGGGGTTGGTGCCGGCTTTTGCGTAATAGGTCCCTTTTGCTGCTGCGAATGTCCTCCTGTGAAGAATGGATCTGTTTGGTACCCATGGGTAAATAGTCCTATCAGTAGTGGGCTGGTCTGTTCAAGTAGTATCGCATGGATCTAGACAGTGGGGCGGGTCAGTGCATCGGCAATGTTAGATGCTCCTTTTTTGTAGGTGACCGTGTAGTGAAAATTGGACTCGAAGAAATCGAGCCAGCGGATCTGTCGTGGGTTGAGGTGTGGCTGTGCGCGGAGATACTGTAGCGATTTATGGTCTTTCCGTACTATCACGTCTGCGCCGGTCAAGTAGCAACACCACACTTTCAATGCGTGCATGATCGCGAGCATTTCGCGGTCGTGTATTGGGTAGTTTTTTTCGGGTGGGTGCAGTTTGCGGGACTCGTATGCAATGGGCTGTAACCAGTTGCCGAAATCTTGTAGCAGTACGGCTCCGATGGCGTTGTCACTTGCGTCTGTAACTACTTTGAATGGGCGGTGTGGGTTGGCGATGCTACGGGCGGTGAACAAAGAACATTTTTCAGGGCAGAGAAGGCAGCATGCTCTTTCTCCCCCTACGTAAAAGCGATCCCCTTGTGCAATAAGTCCGTGAGTGGTGCAGTTAAGGGTGCCATGTCGGGGACGAATCGACGCACGTAATTTACGAACCCCAAAAAACTCTGCAGCTCTGTGATATTCGTTGGGGGCTGCCACGCTTTTACCGTGTCTAGCTCATTTGGGTCAATTTCGACCCCAGCCTTCGAAATAACGTGCCCCAAAAAATCTAGCCTGTCCTGGAAAAACTCGCACTTGGAGCCCTTTGTCAGTAGCCGGTTCTCGTCTAAAATTTTAAAAACTGCTTCTAGATCTGCTAAGTGCTGTTGCTTGTCGCGACTGTAAACGAGGATGTCGTCGAGGTAGACTATCACACATTTATCTAAATGTGGCCTAAATGCCTCGTTCATGGTCATCTGAAATGTCGCCGGTACGCTGGTCAGCCCGAATGGCATCACGGTATACTCGAATGACCCGTACCTATTCCTAAAAGCCATCTTGGTGCAGTCCGATGGTTCGACTCTAATCTGATGGTAATTGTGAGAATTGAGGAATGGATGAACTAGGAAAGAGGTGAGTACAAGTAGGAAAACCTAGAAATGTTGTACCCCATATTGTCTACCCCACTACAGCCTACACAAACAATAGCATATAAGTTTGACACACCCCCATAGGCAAAGTGGGGGAGAACA